AAATATACATATACATATACATATTTTTTCTTTTAGTTTGTCACACTAATGAAACAATATGATGTTTACACATGTGTCTTATTTATTTCACTAATCAATATGTTCCCAAGGTGCCTCCATTTACCTATAAAAGTGTCCAGTTTATCATTATTTATGGCTAATACTCCATTGTATAAAAATACCACATCTTTTTTATCCATTCTTCAGTTGATGGGCATTTAGGTTGTTTCTAAGATCTGGCTATTAAAAATTGTGCTGCTGTAAACATGGGTGTACATATATCGCTGTGGTACGTTTTTTAATCTTTTGGAAAATATCAAGAAGGGGAATAGCTGGGTCGAATGGGACCTGTAGTCCTAGTTTTTTGAGGAATCTCCGCTCTGATTTCCACAATGGTTGCACCAGTCTGCATTCCCAACAGTGGAGAAGGGTTTGGTTTTTTCCCCACAGCCCCGCCAGCATTTGTTACTGTTTTTTGTTTTGTTTTTTGGTGCCAGGGATCGGACTTGCAACCTTGCACTTGCCAGGCAGGCACTCAATGCCGCTGAGCTAAATCCTCAGCGATTTTCCTTTTCCTTTTTCTTTATTTTTTCTTTTTTCTTTCTTCTTCTTCTTCTTTTTTTTTTTTTTTTTGTACCGGGAATCAAACTCACGTGAGCTAGGGCCACTGAGCTAAATACCAGCCCTGATTTCCTGATACTAGCCATTCTTTCTGGGGTGAGGTTTGCCATGTAGTTTTAATTCATATTTCTGTTTTACAGCTAACCTTTTTATCATTTAGCACTTGGTAAGCACATTGTAATTTTTGGCCTGTGAATTTTGTAGTTTATATCCTACTGTGAAATCCTTTTCTCTCTAAGCTATCATAAAGTTTGGTGCCCAGACTGCATACAGTCATCTGGGTTTCTTATTACCCTGATGAAATGGTAAGATGTATCATCTGATAATCTGACAAGCATGTACTTGGTGTGCTTTAAAAATGCATATATCTGTGTATGGCCTAAGCATGTCTTTTTGACAAAATGACACTTTTAGAAAGCTTTTTGGGTTGGCATGTGGCATTTCTGTGGGCATATGTATTCTGGCAGTCATGGTCTAAGTCAGAGGAGACGTAGCTGAAAAGTTTTTGCTTCTGTAGTTGGGAGTGGTATAGTCTTCGTCATGTACCTTATGATGGCTCAGAACTAGTGTAGAGGACTTGATTTAAATTCAGTTGCTCTTATTTGATTCTTCTGTGTAGGTGTGTTTGCACCACTAAGCATCTAACCTCTAACATAGTGTCCAGTTCGTACTGATTACCTGCTAGATAGCTGTTGAATTAATAATCTGATCAGGCCCAGAACTGAGCCCTGAAGGCTCAGCCTTGCCATTCAGTGGACTGAAGAGTTTAGATGGCTTAGCAGTGAGCTCTGGTACCCTCCCAGGATGAAGCCAGCTTCCTTCCTGCGGACTCAGAACTAGCTGGTTTTTCTATTTTTCTCTGGAACATAAGTTCTTGGGGAACTTGGTGTCAAATGAATCAGTGAGTTTGGCTCGAAGCCAACTGTAGAAGTGAAGCGGAGGAATAAATTTCCCTTTGAATTAATGGCCACCTTGCCTCACACTTTGAAGAGGCCCTTGTTATCCTTACTTGAGTGAGATCCTCCCCTACATGAGCAGCTATCCAGAAGTTGTGGTTTGATCGTGTTCTAATGTGAGCAGTTTTTTTTGGTATTTTTAGAGATCAGAGTATTGAGGAGGCCAGAAAACACCAGATACCTCTGTAATAGTTGTATGGAGTTGTTTGTTTGTTGTTGTTGGTATCAGGGATCTAATTCATGACCTCATGCTTACCAGGCAAGTGCTGAAGCCATAAATGCCTGGCTCCCAACACCAGATATCTCTGACTTCGATGGTTTTTCTACTGATCCCCGAAAATGTTTGGACATTTATTTGTTAATTGCTGTTTGCATTTTGTTTCCTTTAGTTCTAAGAATTTAGGTAAGGATTAGTGTTGGCTCAGTAACTTGTTTGGTTAGTTGGATGTTCCCTGTTTGGTAGAGTTCAGGGGGTGGAGAGGGACAAGGGGAGAAGTCACCTCTGAGGGAGGAGAGAATAACTAACTGGGTCATATGTCAGATAGTAAATATTTTAGATTTTTGCAGGCTGTGGTCTCTTTCACATATTCTGTGTGTTTTATATCTCTTCAAAGATGTATAAACCAGGCTTGGAGTACAGCTCAGTGGTAGAGCTTTCAGAGGTATGTCGGAAGCCCTGGTTTCAACCTACATACCACAAAAAAGCACACCCAAAATGATGTGTAGCTTGGGAGCCTTATAAAAGAGACCAGAGTCAATTCTTTTTGAGATAGCAGGAGGCATTATGGTAACCATTGTTGATCATCTTGTATTATGTTTTTACATTATCTATTATTACATATCTATCATGTCCATCCTTTTGATTTGACTGACCCTGTTCTGTTATGTCACATTTGGTTTTACTCTCTTCCAAAAAAGTAATAAGAACTGTGAGAGTAATAAAACCCAAAATGTGTAATAGTCATTGTACAAAAGAATCCTCTCTTTTGAAGAGAGTGCTCTAAACGATATAACTGCATGTATATTTAAGTGTATAAGATAGACAATGATATTATTGAGTTTTGTTGGATCATTGAACAGAACTGTTTGCAACCTCACTGTTTGAATGTCCACTTTATATGCTTTAATTTTGTAACTTGAGCAAATATTTCTAAGATGACAATATGTAATCCATTAACTAGTGATTTCCTGTTTATTTTTTTTTCTGAAATTCTATATAGCATGTACCCTTTTTCTGCTTTTTTTTTTCTTTTTCTCCTTAAATAAAATTTAAAAAAAAAAAGAGAGAGAGACCAGAGTGAGCATTGGCCGCCACACAGGTTATAGTTTGCCAGTCCTTGAACTTGGTGAAGAAATTAGCCTGTTGCTACATGTGTTTACTTAACTGTTTCAGGAACATGAACCCAGAATAACCCTGAGAATTCTCAGTTGATAGTGATCCAAAGAAGAGCTGTCCAAACTTTGGTTTTTAGGGTCACAAGGGTTTTTGTGACAGTCACTTTGAATCTGTGGAATTTAAGGTGACCCTGGCCAGTAGGACAGAGGGTTCTTGCTGTGTCTCTTCCATGAGAGTGCTGGCCAAGGGGAGCAGAGGCCAGGAATGGGTGAGTGGGGCGGGACATGCATACAGCTTAGTTGCTTTGGGATGTTGTTAAGAGTCTGGCACGTCCTGTGAGTTTTGCCAGTTTATAAAAGTGAAAGAGCACATCTGTACCTTGAGTTCTGAGAACTCTGCATTCCAGTATACCTGAATCCAGACCTGCCTTGTGGTTTTTCTCTCATCATAAGAAGCTCTGCAGAGCAGGTCTGGTGTGAGGGAAGTGTGGATTTATTTGAGGTTACTTCAGGAAGGCCCAGTAGTTAATAAGTGTGGGCTCAGGGACAGGCACTTATCCTGAGTTTCTCTGCTCCTTCATCTGTCTGTGACCCTGGGCAATTTACTTTGCCTTCAAGCCCTCAGTATGCTTTCCTCTAAATGGCAGTGAGAGTAGTAGCTCCCCTGGGGTTGTAAGAATTGAGAAATGTGTAAAAGGCTTACTAGCTCAGTGTCTGATGAGTAGTAAGTGTTCAGGAAATGTTTGCAATAATAATGTGACAGTGGAAGAAGTGTGGAGGAACTAGTGTACGTGACTCAGTGCTACAGAAATACCATGTCTGGTTGAGCACTTGACCACTACTGAGTGGGCATGTGTCTGTTGCAACACAGAACTGCATACATGTCTGCACCTTTTCATGTCCTGATTTGGAAAGTGAAGATAATACAGGTTGACCTGTAGGGTAGGAGTTAACTAACTGAGGTAACAGGTTTTTTATGAAGTGTTGGATAAAATTTAAGATAAAGTCAATGTGTCTATTCAGTTTCTTGAACTAACACATGCTTTGGGACAGAGCCAGGAGGTGAGGCATGTGAGCCAGAATGTTTTGCTAAGGTCTAGAGAGGTAGGCTAGTGGCTAGAGTGTGACTAGCCAGGGCAAGGTGATGGAATCAGTTCCCCAGCACCTTGGGGGAAAAGCCAGAGACTGGACAGGAAGCACCCAGATTCAGAACTGTGAAACTTGTGATTTGGAATGAATGCTATAAAATTGGAACGTCAGCTGCATTGAAATGCCTTCTTGTGTAGCTCATATTGGAAGCCAGGCTAACGAAGCTTAATCTCTGTGGAGGAAAATGTGATCATATCATGCAAAATAAAAATGTGTATTTACTTTTCCCCTGAAATTCCATTTCTAAGACTTTATCCTGGAAGTGTATTTGCTATGTACATTTTTATACTAAATTATATATGCACATACTTACTGTTACATTATTTATAATGACAAAAAAGTGGAACTAGCAGTGTCTAGCCTTAGAAGACTGGTTGCCTCAGTCCTAGTACAGTCTCAGCTAAACACTATGCATCTGCAGAGTGCGGGAGTGCTGTGTGTGCTGATGGAACTCGCTTCTGAGACTGGTTAAGCTAAAGCAACAAAATGAAAAGCAAGGTGAAGAACAATGTGTATTTTATGCTGTACTGGTTGCCAGGCTGGTGGCAGGAAGGGAGGGAACATTGTGATTTCCTTGTCTAAGCAGAGACTATTTGGGAAGGATATGAAGCTGGTAATGTGTTGCATCTGTGGAGAGGAACTCTTGAGTAACTTGGGGACAGGTAAGAGGGAGATTTGTGGTTCATAGGTTTGCCTTTCTTCCTCTGAAACATCTTACACACACACAGTCTGTTCACAGTTACTATCATTGGAGTTGAAGACTATGAAATGTAGTGTGTTTCCTCCCACACCTGTGTCTGGTCTCTTTAACCTTGATGGCTTAAGAAGCTGGCCTGCTGGTAGGCTTACCCTGAAACAGCCCTTCCCTCCCACACACAAAGCACTTTGGCCTTTACTCTTGATTTCTGTGACTGATGATGTTTCTGTTTCCACCCCCAGCTCTGGCAGCATGTAAACAGCTTTTTGCCAAGAACCCAGGTCACCACTGAGAAGAGGGTCTTGAGGGAGAAGAGTATCAGGAGGACACCAATGCCAGGCGCGTGTGGAATTACACTCACTGCAAGCAGCATGCCGCACTCTGTGTCAGCTCCCGTGTCCTGGCAAAGGCTGGGGCTCTCCAGGTAGGAGGGTCCTGGGGCAGAAGCACCAGGAGCCTCTTGGGGAAGAATGGGGCCAGACACGAACTCTCCACAGTGAGCATAGTTTTCAGTTTATGAAGGAATTGAAGAAAATAATTATTTAATTTCCACACAATCACATTCAGAAGTCTTCTGTGTGATTGCCAGCAGTCAGCCCCTCCGTAGAAGTTACCAGGATTTTTCTGGCACCAATGTGAACTCTTTTTGGTACTTCTGGCAATACGGATCTGCTGGACAGACTTAGCTACTGAATGCTGCAAGGCAGGAAAAAGAGAAAAACCTCTGGAAGAAGCATCAGGAAGGCTGAACAGAGACCCTTGTTGGCTCCCACTTGTACCGAAGCTCAGCCTGCACTCGGATGCTGTTAACTGAAGACTCCTGCTGTGTTCACCGCAAAGGCCATCTGCTCTGGGGAGAGCTGGCGTTTTGGGGCTGCCTTTCGTGGCTCTTCTCTCTTGTCATTCTGCCTCCGTGCCTTCTGTGCAGGCAGTTGAATGATGTGAACTTTAGGATGGAGTTTGGTACTCTTGGGGGTCTGACTTCTTTTCCTGGGCTGGTGCTGTTGGAAAGGGCCACCTGAAGGCTGTGTTTGTGTGTGGGAAAGAAGGCACTGCCTGGCCGGATCCTCCACCATGTTCCTGTTGCTGCCTTTTGACAGCCTGATTGTCAGCCTTCTGGGCATCTCCCTGACAGTCCTCTTCACTCTCCTGCTTGTTTTCATCATAGTCCCTGCCATTTTTGGAGTCTCCTTTGGTATTCGAAAGCTCTACATGAAAACATTGCTAAAAATCTTTGCGGTGAGTTGTGTGGTGTTACAGTAGGTGCTTTATGGAAAGCAGTGTTCTTAGCAGAGAGTTGTTCTTACCTGGCTGGGGGTTGTTTCTTTATTGGTTGTGGAGGAAATTGGGAGAATGGCAGGTAGTATCTAGAGAAAAAGAATAACTAAATGTGTACTTTTGAAAGCCTGCAGCAATCTTTTTCAACTAAAACTAAAGCTGCTTGTATATTTGACTCATGCTGAGCAAGGAGCCCTGTGACGCCACAGCTCACCTCCTTATTTCACAAAGAGAAGGGGCTTAAAGTAGTCATGCCAGACTCTGCCTTCTCTTATGTAACAGGTGTTGTGCACACTGATGTTGCTGATGTATGTTCTTCCTCGTGAGCCTTTGTCTCCTCCATACATTTTTCTAGGTTGTTGCATTTCAGACAAAAAGAACCAACAGAAAAAGACGTTTGAGTCATTTTCTGAAAGATAGAGGATAATAAATTTCTGAATATATTTTAGAATTTGCCTAATTATGTCGTTAAACAGAACTGATTGCATTATAAAGGCAACAAGGGAGTGATTGCTTCCCGGAAGTTGATCTGTACCACAAGACTTACTACCTAGTCAGAGATTTGGTAATTCAGTGAAATGTCTATTTTCCAATAGTCCTCACATCTTCAGGAATTAATTTTGGTTTTTTGGGGGTTTTTTTGAGACGAGGTCTTACTATTTAGTTTAAGCTGGCCTTAAACCTACTGTATAACCCAGGCTGACCTCAGGCTCTCTTACCAGCCTCCCAGGTGCTGGGGTTACAGGCATGCACCACTGTGCGTGGCAGGAATTCTTTTCCACCTTTAAAACCATGTGCAATTTTGAGTACTGCACTTGTCATGGTAAAAACAATACAGCGTTACTTCATGCGGTGTCTTACAGTTTTATTTTGGTTTTTTTGGCAGTGCTGAGGATCAGATACCCATGACCTTCTCATGCTTAGCTCTGCTCAGTGGCATAAGTGCCTGCCTGGCAAGCATGAGGAGGTGGTGAGCTGAATCCCCAGTGCCAATAAATAAATAAATAAAATAATTGTTTTCATTTTACTTTGTTTCCTTAAAATTTCATTGGTAGACAGCATAAATATCTATATTTTATCAACAAAGAAAAAGACTTAGATTAAATGAAGTATTAGAGTGTTACATTTCCATAAGAAGTATTTACATTTGTGGCATAGAACTGTGGGCCTTATCTTTTTTTGCCACTTAGTATGTTGATAGGAATATTTCTTTCACACATTTAAAGAAGTTGAGGTGATACTGACACAACATAAATAATGGTATGGTATGCAGCCAGCACTTGTCTCATACATTGTTGTCACTTACACAGTAGCTGGTGCCCAGTTACATTCTGTCCGTGGGTTTACCTCTTCTAGGTATTTCATATAAGTAGAATTATGTAAAGCATGTCCTTTTTTTCTGGCTTCCAGGTAACATAACTTAATTGGGGTGGGGGGGTTGGTACTGGGGATTGAATCTAAGGCTTTTGCACTGGGTTTGAGGTACATACCAAAGTGTTTAAGACACAGTCACCAAGTTGCCCATGCTAGACTCAAATCCCGATACCCTCCTAGAGTATTGGCATTACAGACATGTGCTACCACACTTGCCTTAATGTTATTAAGGTTTGTCTTTGTCAGTATTTCATGCATGCACGTGTGTGTATGTGTGTGTGTGTGTGTATATACTGTCCTGTGGTATCTGACCATAATTGGCTTACCCATTCATCCACCAACGGACACTGGTGGGCTATTTGCACCTCTTGGCTGTTGTGAGAAGTGCTGATAGGAAGCTGCAAGTTTGATTACCTCTTTTCCAGAGTCTTGTCTCTGGGCTCTACTCATGGTGGTCTCTGGACTTACGTGTATCTAGTCTTCCCTTTTCAGTAAACTGGACATCAGCAGCATGTATTACTTAGGAGCCGGTTCAAAATGAAGATCTTAGACCCCTGTAGATCTACTGAATTAGAATTCTGATTTTAACAACTTATAAGTGATTCATTCACACATTAAAATCTAAGAAATGGTTGGTCTTTGAACTGGCTATTTTACTAATATAGTAATTAATCAAGAAAAGGGATTTTCATATTTCAGCTCAAGAAAATGTTTAACTGACCAGAAGACCCCTGTGGATAGTATAACTTAGTACCCATACCGTCCTACACCAGGACAAAATTAGTGAAATAAATGTCAGATTTTTAGGAGATAAGAATGATGTTTGGCTTTCATTCAAGTTTATACAAGGGATTAATTCATGGATCGATAGAAATTATCTTTTTTTTTTTTTTTGAAACAGGGTCTCACAGCAGCCCTGAATTCTCTAATGTAGACCAGGCTGGCTTTAAACTGTCTGCACATCTCCTACCTCAGCCTCTCAAGTGCTGGGATTGCAGGCATGTACCACCACATCCAGTAGAAATTTTCATTTTTAAAATGTAATGAATGAGAATTATGAGCCTAAGATGTTTTGTGCTCTGGGTGAATGACTGGGGGATGACAATGTACAATGTACATTGTTACCCCCTGATTGGTGTGCTTTGAAATTTTGTTAGAATTTTTTTCTTTTTCTGTTTATCTTTGAATAAAATAGACTTGGGGTAAAAAAGAATTATGAGCCTAGGTTTCTCTCCTGTAGTACTTAATATTTAACTTGGATAACTAGGACAAAAGGTTTAAAATCCATTCCTTTACCCTATTTTGAATATTTCTTCAAAGTTAATAATTTAAAGCTAATAGCCAAGTAAATCTTTCTTGCAACTATATTTTCAAAATGTATGTTTCTATGATTTTTACTGTAGGTTATAGTGATACAATGGAAAATTCATTAAACGTTGGGCCAACCTGTGGGGTATGTAATCTTCATTGATCAGCGAGTACTTGCAGGCCAGATCTTGAAAACACCTGGTTTAGGTCAGAGTGATGTGGAAGTAGTAGTGAAGTTGTGAGTGTATTTGTAACCTCAGATTAAGAATATCAGTAAATAGGAGCTGGGGATGTGGGCCAGTGGTAGAGTGTGTTTCTAGCATCTCTAAGACTCTGCTTTCAAGCCCCAGCGATGCAAAAAAAAGTTTTCAAAACATAGATTTGTACCTTTTACTCCCGAAGCACCCAGAGGCTTCAGCATAGCCAGTTCCTGGGCCATGCCTTGCTGAGCTCCATGGTTACAAGGTGGCTGCGTGCTGCAGTGAGGGGTGGTCCTAATGTTCTGCTATCACACTGGGGATTTAACATAAGAGTTAGGGGGAAGTAAACTTTAGTCCATAGGAAGGAGAGACCTTTATTTTACCTTTTTTAGTTTCTTCCACTTTTTCCTAAAAATTGGAGTGATACAAATAATTTTGGACCTGAAAGGAAGCTCAGAGATGTTAATAACACCTGGGGAAGCATTTTGGAAAGTACTGTACTTTGGGACTTTAGCATCTGGTTTTAATAGATCTAGGTGGACATTTAAAAAAAAATTTCCCAGGAACTCTTGTGTCAGTGATGTCTAATGACTCTGATTCTCAGCCCACTCCTTCCACCCTCCATGTCGGCTTCCTTAGTGGTTTGTCTCTAGCCAGTAGGGTGTGGTGGGCATGATGCTGTGTGAATGTAAGGTTATTTCAGAAAAGGCAGTATAATGGCTGTCTGGCTCTTTTAGCTGCTTGTTCCTGGATGTGCTCCCACAATGTGAGGAAGTCAGGCCATGTGGAGGTGTTGGAGCTCACTGCCCCAGGAAGGCTCAGGCAGCCAGCATCAGACATCCGCGCTGAAGTCCACAGGCCTCTAAGGGTCCAGCTCCTGGCTTCCACCCACCTAGACGTGCAGTCTGTGGGTTTAAGAACAAGATAAATGGGGTGGGGTTTGAAGCCGTTAAGTATTGAGGTAGTTTGTCTTATAGCAACAAGTGACCAAAGCATATACTATTAGAGAGTTTCAAGCATTCATCCTTGTCATAGCTTCTCCTACCTTCAGTTTAAATTTGTTACTTTTTGCAGTGCTGTGGTTTAAATCCAGGACCTTGCACTTGCTAGGCAAGTACTCTGCCACCGAACTCCTCCATTCCCAGCTCTGTTTAACTGAGATAGGGTCTTACTGAGCTCCCTAGGCTGGCCTTGAATTTGTAACCCTCCTGTCCCTACCTGCTGAGTAGCTGGAATCACAACTGTGTACTGCTGTGACTAGCTTTTTGTAAAAATCATGGTTCTAGTTTATGGTGAAGTAATAATTTTACTTCAGCATTTTATCAGCAGTCTTTACATTTTACTTGATAATCTTCATAAAGATAATTAAAACTGACTATCTAGAATTCATGCTGTGCCTGTCCACATCTCTGTGTGTGTTTCACACATGCAGTCCTGGCTTACCAGCTGGTCTCCCACACTTTCTTCTTTGTAAGGTTTCCAGGAGAAGATGTTTGTATACCTGCCTCAGAGAGGTAGGGAGGATGTGCCTGGATTATTGCCAGCCTGTCCCTTCCATGGCCATGAGCCCACTGCAAGTCCTGAAGTGATAAGTCACTGAAGACTATTGTGTGCAAACAGCGTGTCAGTTCCTCGGCTTTTTTTTTTCCTCCTTTTATTGCTTGAGGTTCTCTCTACTCAGTAGTAATGCTCAGTTTCTGGAGTAGAGTTCCTAGGAATGGACCTTCAACTGGGTTAAGAATAACTTGGAATAAGGGAGAGAAGAAGACTAAGCTATATAGGAGGAAGGGTGAAAACAAATGACTTGTTTTCCTGCAATGAAAGGAATCGACTAGATTGGAGTAGAGAAGATGGGGCCCTTGCCATCCACGGTGTTCAGCTCCACAGCAAGCGTTGGAAGAGAGTTGCAGAAAAAGTGGTGGTTGTGGGAGAGATGGAGACAGGACTCCAACAGTAGCGATGTCATATGTGCAGTTTTGGGCTCTGGCAGCTCTTCAGTACTTTCCTGTGAGAGCTGTAAGTTTGACTTTGGCCATGTTGTATTTTTCATCAAGAGAGAATTCCTGCCTTAGGTAGCTATGGGAAAGAGGAGGTGTTAATTACAACCTTGGGTGGATTAAAGACACACTGCAGGAGAGAAGGATGATTGTGGCAAGGAAAGTGATAAAAGTTTCAGAATTAACCATTTCAAGTGTGTTTCCTTGCTTGGAGATTTTGCTAAAGAGAAGAGTCTGGAGTTGATGAATTAAACACAGCCCTGTAGATGCCTACTTTGCCTGTGATGGAATCCACATGTGCACATGGGCAAGTTCTGACCCAGCCCCTAGGCATTTGTAGTTCAGTGGGGGAGACAGTGTACTTTTTACCAAGCTTCTAATGCGCTATCCTCTTTTTAATACCTAGTTCAGATGAAAATCTAATGTGAAATGCTGCCTACGCATCCTGTAGTCAGACTCCGTCTGAATTAGTTATACATCACATGCTGTCATTAATGCATTGAAAACTGACAGCATTGGTAGATGAAGGCAGAGGAGAGATGACAGCATTGTCAGATGAAGGCAGTTAAATAGCAGTTGTAGGCAAGGGAATATTGGAGTGAAGGAGGGAGCTGTGAAGCACAAGCTGTTTGCGTAAGACCGTGCACCTGGGTGGAGGATGGCTAGGGCCCTGTGACATGGACAGAGGAGACTGCCAAAGAGGGACCTCTGCAGCTCTGGGAATGTGTGCTCCCAGCCTCCTAGCATGCCACGTAGCCAAAGCTGCTGGCCTGCAGAATTGGGAATAGGGAATTGGCACTTGTGTGAACCAGGAGAAAGTTGACAGCAGCTGTATGGCCCTTACAGCTGACGCAGGGAGAGAAGAGAGCTGTTGAACTATGAAGTCTGCTTGGGAAATGGAACTGATGGGTGATCAAGCCTGCCTGTTTGTTTGTTGTGTAGTTCATGATAGCCTTGAACTCATTATGTAGCTCAGGCTGGCCTCAAACTCAGGATGATCCTCCTGCATCAGCCTCTGGAGTGCTGAGTTTGCAGACGTGTGCCACCACACCCAGCATAAGCCTGGATTTTTAAAGTCTGGTTCTTTAGATGAATCTGGCCCACAGGAAAATGCAGTGGACCCAAATAGAGAGAGTTCTAGAGATTACTTTTGCTGATGGTTCATGCTTACTCTTTTGATTATGATAATTCCAAAACTGTGGTCTGCAACAGAATGAATAACTAGCAAAGTGCCCCATGGAAGAAACACTTGCATTTCCCCTGCCAAGGTCTCTGTGCAGTTTAATGTTACTTACTGGAAGAGTGCAGTGTTGTTAATTCCCTTAAACTGTTTCTTTTCTGGGAGAAGCTGAAAAGGAATACCAAGTAATCGAATATTGAATAGCCTTGCAAGTGGCAAATCAGATTAGGGGAAAAGGACTTTTATGGCGAAATGAACTCTGAACTGAGGAGCTTAACTTTATTCTAAATATCCGAAAACTGTATTTCTTAACGTGACAGCTCAGAGAAGCCAATTGTGTAATTACCAGGCATTGCTGCCGTGGGCTTATTTGTGGAATAATAGAAAGTATATTTGGTCTTTGTGCCCAGTTCCTACATAGAGCTCCTAAAACCCTCAGAATTTTCCAAGAGCTCATAATGTCTTCACAGTGAGACCTTTGCACACACTTGAGTTTATGCTAATGCAATGACAAGGATAACCCTCAGGTAGTTTCAGGATGGGCCTGGGCACCAGGAAGGTCCAGTGATTAGAAGGCTGAGATTTTTAGCCCATCTGCCAGCATCTGGAAGATTGATAGCTGGAGTTTTGATTTTGTGGGACTCCATAAAACTCTTGAGTAATATCGATAAACTGGATGTTGTGAGGCTGGTGTGCCCACAGAGAGCCTGGAACCTGCGCTTCCGCCCCTCAGAACCTTCCTTTTGTGCCGCCTTCTGGCTTGTCCCGAGTAGTATCATCTGTAATAAATCATATATGTAAGTAAAATGTTTGTTCTCTGAGTTCTGCAGGACATTCTAGCAAACAGCCATGTCCAAGGAGGTGATTGGTTGTGGAAACAGTCAATCATAGTGAAGGACTTGTGATTGGTGGCTCATGTGAGATTGTGTTGTAGGACTGTTTCTGTGACTCTCAGCTATCTCCAGGCAGGTAGTGTCACAGCCAAGTTGAAGGGGACACCTATCTGGTGTCCAAGGAAGTTTGCCTGGATGTGTGTGGGTTTCTCCATATCTGGTGTTTGAAGTGTGGTTCACAAATAAGGTGTAGGAAAAGAGCCCTGATTTCATATGTCACTTGTCTGTTGAAATCTGCCTGCCTTGTCAGTACTGAATCAAGTACTGTATTACTCTTAAAACTATTCTTACAACACCACTGCAGGGTTCTGGTCAAAATGTGACCCCTAATGTTGAGTGCGTGACTGGTGTCTCCATATGCTCTGGGCCTCCTGTAAATTCTTGTCCTTTTCACCTTGTTAGTAGTTCGAGGAAACCAGGTAGAATTTTATTTTAGGGATTATAGTAACTTTTTCTAGAAAAGATCATTCAGAGAGTGAACCAGAAGACATCAACAATCAGACTGCTCAACTATGGAAAATAGATTAAATGAGTTTTCTTGTCTTTGACTCTTTGAGTGGATGACTGCGCTACCGTTTTTTCCTAGACAGTGTCATTTGAAGAAGTTTCCGGATGAGGTCATTCCCTGATTAAACTCAGTCCTGCTTTCGGCTTTGCTAGACTGTGCAGAGCAGTCTAACTGCTCCTTTAGGCTCTGCCAGCAGGATCTACCCCAGACGCCTTGGGCCATGTGCATCTTTCTGTGTCATGGCTTGATAAGGTTCTTTTCCACCTTGCACAACTGGGCACAGAAGTTGGAAAAGAGATCTTTTCAAATCTCTTGGCTGTTTCCTTAATTTGCAGTGAGTGTGTGTGTGTGTGTGTGTGTGTGTGTGTGTGGCATAGTAATGGAACCTCGGGTCAAGTACACACCAGCCAGCACTTTAGCACTGAGCTATATCTCTGTTCCTACCTTGGCTTGTTGGCACAGCAAGCGGGGATGAGTGAACTAGCTTGATGTACCCCTCATCGTGTGACAGGGGAGTCCTGGCTTCTGGCTCCCATCCACTCCTGTTTGGAGAGTTGTGATGAAGGTAGAGAGCTCCCAAGAACACTTCCTTCTTTCTCCTGCTCTTCCACAGTCCATGGATTTTAGTTACGTGTCTTTCATTTTCTAGTTCTGTCACATACACAATATCCTTTGACCCTACAAAGTAGGAGGTTGACATAATCTTGTCCTAGTTTTGAGTAGGATAAATTGTCTGAGGAGCATGGCTAGTAAGTGTTAAACTTGGGAATTGAACATGGATTTTTCCAAATCTCCAGATAGGGTATTTTTCCCCCTTTGATACTTTGAAGCCAGTCGTAGGCCTTTTTGTAGTAAAGTTACTTCTGTTGACTAGACATAAATTAAGCCTCTTTGCTGTTGAAAACTAAAATGGCTGCTTTCTGGGAGTAAGTTGGTGGCGGGCAGGAGCACATCAGGCAGGCAGTGGTTGGAAGGTTGTGTCGTGTGATGTTGGTGGTGGCACAGAGTTCCTTGAAGTGTCACAGAGACTGGGGCAGTGAAAAGGGAAGCTGGAGCGTCTGGCTTTCTGGGCTGTGAGAGTTTCCGGCCTGGGCCCTGGTTGTCCAGGGGGCTTGGTGGGGGTATGTGTATCCCTTTGGCATGAGTGGCTTGACACATGTGGGCCTGGGTGATGGGGACTCACGGATGAGTGGCTCACCACCTGAGAGGGACCTCATTCTTGTTCCTGTGTTTCACCATTTCCTCCACAGTGGGCTACTTTGAGAATGGAAAGAGGAGCCAAGGAGAAGAACCACCAGCTCTACAAGCCTTACACCAATGGTGAGCCTGCGCCCTGACCTCAGCCTCAAAGGGTTCTTTGAAATACGTTCATTCCTTAGTGCTTTGATGCACATGCGTAGTCTATTTTCTGTTGCTAAGGTGGATCTCATCTTACAGAGAAAAATGTTTCTTGGACTTAAGTTCTGGAGAGTGGAAAGTCAGATAGTGTGGTGCTGACCAGGGGCGCTGACTGACCCCACTGAGGCAGACGGCATCCCAGTGCAGAGTGTGCAAGTGGAAGAAGGGAAAATAGAGTAGATCACACAGTGAGGTGGGGAGGGACCAGGCTTACTGCTTTATAAAACCACGCGCGCTCGAGGAGCCTGTCCACTTCTGCAGACCCATCAGCCCGAATGGCAGCATCCTGTGACCCAGTCTCTGCACTGTGCCCTGCTGCTCAGAGAGCTGCTGCACTGGGAGTCAGGCTTCCAGTTGATGAACCTCCAGAGGACGTGCAGACCGTGCCCATCTGCAGCACGCACATGCCCCGCAGGCTGCCTAAGCCGAGCGCGCCCTGTTTTCTGCAGCTCTCTCCCAGTGTGCTGTTTCACAGGACCTTCTCTTTTGCAGGAATCATTGCAAAGGACCCCACTTCTCTAGAAGAGGAGATCAAAGAAATTCGTCGAAGTGGTAGTAGTAAGGCTCTGGATAATACTCCAGAGTTTGAGCTCTCAGACATTTTCTACTTCTGCCGGAAAGGAATGGAGACCATTATGGATGATGAGGTGACAAAGAGATTCTCAGCAGAGGAACTAGAATCCTGGAACCTGCTCAGCAGAACCAATTACAACTTCCAGTACATCAGCCTTCGGCTGACTGTCTTGTGGGGGTTAGGAGTGCTGATTCGCTACTGCTTCCTTCTCCCACTCAGGTGAGGACAGGGCCTGGATGGAACAAAAAATGTTGGTGTTCTGCCCACACTTGGGGTGTGGTCTGTCTGTTGATCCGTCTTTCTATCCATCCATTGTCCCCGCTGTTCCTTTCACCATGTTTCTGTGTTTTCCCCTTTTCGAAAGATGGTGTAGCTCTTGAGTGGCCAGTTCATCTGACTCTTAGAAGGATGCTCTGGTGATTATCCTTTCTTTAAAGGCCCTTGAAATTCTCTGCATATCAGCCCAATGTAGTTAAGTTTCTTGAAGACCTGTCCATTATATAAATGAGCTAAACACAAGGAGAGAGAACGTCGTGTACTTCTGGCTGCTTGACCTGGCATGGCCTTCTTCCTCAAGCTAGCCTCTTAAATACAGAGACCATATTGACCTCCCCGAATTTTCTGTGCCACGTGTTGTTCTCTGTATGTCTTACCAGGTACCTGTCACCTTCAGGCTCTGCCTCGTTTCTCAGAGCGACTTCACTTCTGCCAGGCCGTGATGCCAAAGGGAAGTGTTCTACAGCAGGACAGGGATGTGTATTCAGAGGGGCGGCAACCCCTGTGGGCAACATAGCCGGCGTTAAGGCTTTCCTGTTCTGGCTGCGTGGGGCCAGAGGACATGGGCCAGCTGGGAGCCTGAGAAGCCTGAGCCTCAGCTCCGTGTCCATTGGGCCTCCCAGTGACTGCTCCCATGGGTTGGAATTCTTCTGTAGCTCTCAGGAGATTACATTGTGAGCAACGGTTCTGTACACTGACTTGTATGCTTGCATTGCTTTAGTGTTTGAACTTGTCTTTTCCTTGCAGGATAGCTCTGGCATTCACAGGGATTAGCCTTCTGGTGGTGGGCACAACCTTGGTGGGATACTTGCCGAATGGGAGGTGAGTAGAACACAGGCATGTGTGGGGCGCATTCGTTCTGGAAGGGTAACTCAAGTTAAAGGCTAGGTTGCCCCTCAAATACCAACCCAAGTCACTTCATTTTAGGTGATCCTGGGTAACAGTGGCATCAGAGGTCAAGGCTTTTACTTTGTGAGCCATCTTGGTCTCTGACTATTCTTTTTGCCTTCCAACCCTCACATTTTTTGCATTTTTAAAGACCAAAAGTCCACCAAAACGTAGACTACAGGGCCCAAGTCTTAACAAATTTTATTTCATTTGTCTGTTTACGTGTTTTTTGAGACAAGAGTCTTGCTATGCGTTGCAGGCTGGCGTGGAACTCTCAGCCATCCTCTTCCTCAGTCCCCAGGTAGTACTGGGAGTACGGGTGTGCACCCCGTGCCTGGCAGGGTATTGACAGATTTTAACATACTTAGTCTTGGGCATTCAGCTAGGCTGATAAATGGACAAAAGGATAAGGAAGAGTAAGGTTTTTAAAAGTACCTTGAAATGTAGGTGAGTTTTGCGTTTTTCAAAGGAAGCTTTGCTCCCTCAGGCTAGCAGACCTGCACTGCTGGTTTTGCTGAGGAGGCTGGACTCTGGCCTGGCCTGCCTGTGGGCTGCCTCAGGGGTAGGAATCTAGGGGAATTCTAGCCCTGCAGGTTCTCAGCCATTGACTTAGGTGAGCAGGTGTCATCTCACGGCTATTTCTTCGTTTCCTCATTGTGAACATAAAAATGCTGACTTATCACAGGTTTTACCATATGTGTTTACATCTGTAAAAATACTATGTTGGGCTAGGGATTTAACTCAGTGGCATAAGTGCCTGCCTGGCAAATGTGAGGTCGTGAGTTTGATCACCAGTACAAAAAAGAAAAAAAAAACACAACTGTGTTGCAGCCTGCTCAGTGGTTAGAATCAGCAGTTTGTCCTGTCTTCCTGTATGTGAAACAGAATCCAAAACCTGCCCCTGTATTGCAGGTTTAAGGAGTTCTTGAGTAAACACGTTCACCTCATGTGTTACCGAATCTGTGTGCGTGCCCTGACTGCCATCATCACCTATCATGACAGGTAGGGAGCAGCATGGCTACAGAGGGAAGTGGGCTGGCCAGGGCATCCCCAGCTTCTTGGCCCAGTGGGAAGAAGTGGTGTGTTGAGCTCTTGATGTGTCTGTGCTCTGGGGTGTGTTCTGAGTTTTTGTTGCCTACATACATTTTTGTTTTACACCCAGGAAGAACAGACCAAGAAATGGTGGCATTTGTGTGGCTAATCACACATCTCCTATCGACGTTATCATTTTAGCCAGTGACGGCTACTACGCCATGGTGAGTCTGTGTTCTTGAGGTCAGACTTCCAGGAGGCTTCTAGAGCTCTCATAGAACACTTTCTAAGGGCATAAACGTACAAACTTTTTATATGTTTGCTCAGATGTTGCCCAGAGGCTTGTTGGCTGAGGAGTGACTTGAGACTTAAATCTAAGGTCCACTGAGCAGACAGATCGAGGCAGGTTGTCCTGTGGACTGTGCAGGTGCGGGAGCAGGGAAAGATCCAGCCATGACTGGGTACATCGTGCAGAATTGCCCAGGGAGGGGTGTTGTATTCAAGGAATCACTCCTTTATTTTGTTTAACAGTTTTCAGTTGTCTTTTTACATGCCTGGTCGATCACTATGAGAAGAAATTTAGAGTCTAGGGAGTCTGCATTGTGGTTCCCTGGTAGTGGGAACCCTGCCTTTAAGTCCTATTACAGAGCGAGACATCAGGGTGCATATTTGGTGGACTGGGGGTTTGTATGAACCAGCTTCATTATTAATTACTGCTTTGTCTGAGACTAGGTGGGTCAAGTGCATGGAGGACTCATGGGTGTGATTCAGAGAGCCATGGTGAAAGCCTGTCCCCACGTCTGGTTTGAGCGGTCTGAAGTGAAAGACCGCCACCTGGTGGCTAAGAGGTAATCCGACAGGGTACTGTTTGTTTCTTTGCCAGAAGAAAATGTCGTTCAAGGACGTTACAATTAGAATGCTTTCTACACTCAGCCTGTGCTGTTCTTGTTATACATTTCCCCTGAAAGATGGAATATAAAGTAGAATCCTGACCGTTGCTTACTTACATAGTAATGTTTCATTCTACCCATTCCAGCAAATACGAACTTCTATTGCACTTAGAAGTCTCAAAATGAAAAACAATAAAAGAAATCTCAGATTGATTCATTGTCACAAATAAAAACCGACATAAGACAGTGGAGCAAAGTGCTGCTGTGTTCTCACTTCTTGTGTGAACAGTGCCCAGAGCTTTGCAGTAGACAGAAAGGCATCAGACTCAATTGAGACCATCTTCCATACAGACAGGTGAACCCTCACCAGATTCCCTTTGGCTCAGGGATAGAGTTTTGAGCCAGGCGGCACTGGCTGGAGGTCTGTCAGTCGGTTTTCTGCAGTTATAACAGTATCTAAAACTGAGTAATTTATAAAGGAAATCCCTAGATCCATAGCTTTGAAGGCTGGGAAGTCTAACATTGGGTCCCACATCTGGGAAGGCCTCTTGTGCTTTGTCATAACATAGCAGAAAAGCAGAAGGGCAAGCAGGTGTGTGCAGAAGAGACAAAATAGCCACACATGGTAGTGCACACCTGGAATACCAGCTGCTCAGGAAGCTGAGAAGGAATTGCAAGTTTGAGCCTAACCTGGTCAACTTGGCAAGACCTGTCTTATAATGAAAGAAGCTACGGATAGCTCAGTGGTAAAGTGCTTGCCTGCCAGGCATGGAGCCCTGGGTTCAATCCCCAATCAGTCAAGTCAGTTAGGGGCTGCTTTTGCTTGGTAACAGCTTATTCTGGAGGTAACTCATGCAGTCACATGGAAACTAGTTGCTCTTTACTAATGATCTAATCACCACTTCAAGACTCTATCCACCACTACCGCCATAATGACTATTAAATTTATCCATGAGTTTCTGGGCGACAGACCACAGCAAGGTCCAGCTCAGTGCAGCAACTGGGCAACCTGCCACAAAGGTTGGTTAAGCGTTCTGTATGTGAAGCTGTTGCTCCAAGAGAATACTTGACCTGAGCACAGACTAACATGTACGGGACGGGCTGCCATTTCTGTCTCGCTCCCAGGTGGCTGTGATTCGAACTTCTCTGCCGGCTTGTATCTCCTGTGATACCTGAGTGACTGTCGCCTTGGGCAGCATGCAACAGTTCCACTGAGTGGCATAAGCTGTCAAGTTGGACAGTTATGTGTACACCACTGGTGATGGAAGCCAGCGGGAACATGTTAATACTGAATTGAAAGGATACAGATTTGTTAACTTGCTGTCTAAACAAATGTCACATGCATAAATGCACTTTGATGATGAGCATAAGCTTGTGTGACCATTTTATTGATTTTATTATATATATACTTTTTTTTTTGAAGACTGACTGAACACGTACAAGATAAAAGCAAGCTGCCTATCCTCATCTTTCCGGAAGGTGAGAGCCTCTGGGCGGGGGAGCCAAGTCCCTCAGCCCATGTTGGGGTTCTCTTTGCCCACTGGGTTATGTTAAGTACCCTTTGGATCGGCTGTAAGACTGATAACTCGGGAGACTAAGAATTTGGGTCCAGAGTTTGTAGTGTGAGCTCCTACAGGAGTCCCTTCTGTGGCTTTGCTGATGACAGGCCTCTCAGCTTTCTCTCCAGTCCTCCCGAGAGTAGCAGGGGTCCCCGGCCCTCACCTGGGTCAGGATGTGTCAGTCAGGGAAAGTAGCCTGGAAAGGAAGAGGCGGAGGGGCAGCACCCTGCCATTTCTCAGTTGTTTGTTAGTAAGTGAGGGTGATGACAGGTTTATCCTGTTTGAGGAACCATTCAGAGTTTTTGTTAGTGTTGAAAAAAATCCTACTATCTGGGATAAAGGATCAGAAAGAAATAGCATTTTGCTCTCTCCTGTATTTTATTTATTTACTTTTGGTACCAGGGATCAAACTCATGACCTTGTGATTGCCAGGCAGGTGTTTGTGCCACTGAGCTAAACCCCCGACCCCTCTCTCCTGTATTTTAGGTACCTGCATAAATAACACGTCAGTGATGATGTTTAAAAAGGGAAGTTTTGAAATTGGAGCCACAGTTTATCCAGTCGCCATCAAGGTACACGGCCTCTGTGGGTGCACGCTGTTGTCTTGATCATGGCTAAGAATGGGGTGCAGCAGGGAGTGATGGGTCCACCTCAGGCCGAAGCCTGGGGAAAGGAGAGCTAAAGATTGCAGCCCTGTCTGAGAGGCCTGGGCAGGGTTTAGGAGGGAAACGGCCAGTTGCCTGTCTGCCACCAGATTTGGGAAGTGGAACTCCCCTCCTGAGCTCTGCCTTCATCCCCTCACCCTCTGCATGGATGTGCTGCCAGCTGGGTTCCTTGTGGAGAGAGAGGGAAGGGGGATGGGCCTCCATGGGGTCTCGTCATGGTGCCGTAGGACAGACGGCCCTGCTGCTGTGGGGGCAGTCATTGTACATAGCCACAGCCCATAGCATGGAGTGGGGCCTCCGAGCTGCTCCCTTCTGTCCCTGCCCTCCAGAAACTGGGCCTCTTCCCCTCTTGCCCCCTGAGACCAGTCACCTGCACTGCTGTCCTCCTCCTGCTCCTCCTCCTCTTCAGCCAGACCGTTCCTTCACTCCCGCCCAGGCTTGTCAGTAGGATTAGAATACCTGGGCCAGAGTCTCAGGAGGGCACACAGCGGGAATACTTGGGTGTCCCACCCTTTCACAAGGCCTGCTTGCTGCATGCAGAGCACCTGTGGAAATGTCTGCACTGCGTGTCACCTCCCTTCGTGGTTTGGGGGTGAGGCTTCCTCCTGGTTAGCCACCTGCTTTCATCAGTTTGGCAGAGCACCCAGTTGGAGATAGCACACAAGAATCGACAGCAGGCTGAGATGGCTGGACACACGAGGGCTACCTGGGCTGTGGAGGATGGCATGTCTGGAACAGTAAACTCTAGCAAGTCTGCCAGGGTGGTGCTTGAGGAGTATCGTGTACATCCTCCAAATGCCCTCTTACATCTTCATGCGACGGAGGTCAGGTGTTTCCCTGCAGGTGGAGGTCACCTCAAAAGTAGGGGGAGTTTATCTTGGCTCACAATCCATGGTTGGCTGACTCAAAGATACAAACATGGGGAAAAAGAGCTGCTCACTTGATGGCAGCCATAGAGCAGAGTGAGGGACAAGTCTCCCCTTCCGTGCTACCCTCACAGCACCTACTTCTGCCAGCCAGGTGCCACCTCTTAAGAGCACATTCAGCTTCCATGCTCTGCTCCTTCTCAAGAGCCACCTCTAATGCACGGACCTTGGCCCAGCCCATGACTGTGCATGAGTTTGCGTTCCTGTAGAGTGGGGATGGTCACACTGAGAACACCAGCCTACTGCAGTGTCCCCCATCTTTAGTGCAGCTAGTCAGGGGCAGCCTCCTTCCGTGGAGTGTGTTTTGTATCTACTGCTGGAACGTAAATTGTGTGCGGTGTATGTAAGGGCGTCCCTGTTCAGAATAGAGCCCACATGTCCATGGGTAAGAGCTTGCGTCCTATAGATGCTTCTTTAGCTGGGGGAAGCCTCCCTCCATTGGTAATTGGACTTGGATAGCCTTAGTACATCAAGGCCCTTACTACATCTCCGTCAAACTTCATCACTGTCCGGTTTTGAGGAACATGTTACTCTGAGCATTTGCCTTGTTTTTAGGTGTAGTGTCTGCCCTACATAAGAGACAAAGGACCCTCACTCACAGCACCCAAGTTTCCATTCAGATCATGGCCTTCTTGTTTTGTTGAGGAAGGACTTGCCATGTTGCCTATGGTGGCTTCAACTCTTGCGCTGAAGTGGTCCTCCATCTTCAGCCTCCTGGATCTCTGGGCTCTAGGCCTAGAGGATTACAATGTGTGATCACACACACTAGCTTAGTTTAAACTCTTACTTTCGGAATTATAAATGAATTTGCCCGCTCACAGTTAAATCTATAAATTTTTTGTGTTCCCACTGTGTATGTTTGGTGCTGGGGATTGAATCCAGTGGCTCATGCGCACTAGTCAGGCATTCCCCCAGGGAGCTGCTGTCTCACCCCGCTCAGTTTCTGTTATTAAATCTCACGTCCCTATTTCTGTAGGTAAGAGCCAAAACGTCAACATGCTTACCCATGTTTTGTGCTGAGAATCACAAAACTTAGGACAGAAAAGCCTAAGAGCTCACACCCTGAGACCCATCCTCATCCCTCCCTGCAGTGTGGGACTCTGCAAGCCGATTCCCTGCCTGGTGTGCTTTTTTTTTTTTTTTTTTTTCTGGAAAGGTAGCATCTTGTTCAGAGGAGTAAAACTTGAAATTGTGAATTTGATTTTTCTACTCTGTTCCTAGGTCTTTGCTTTATCAGTGCACAAAGTCAGTGTTTAGTGCCTGGTCTGCAGTTGCCCTCACACTGTTAGTAATGGTCCTGGTCCTTTATATAGTCACCCCCTTGGAGACTTACACTCTGCTGCTGCCTCTCATCTCCTGCCAGATCTGCCTTCTCTTGGAGTTACTGTTTGACAGGAATGAGGGCCCCAACCACAGCCACAGTTGCCATAAAGTGCCACTGAAATAGCCTTTTATTAGAATCATTGGCACATGAAGGCCCCTGAGGCAGCTGTTTCCTGGTTGCAAATACATTGCCTTCATAGTTGAGGCTTCAGGAGACTATTGGGGTGTGGCCATGGGCTGGTAAATACTAATGATGAAAGCAACAGCGCTTGCTGCACAAGATGGTAAATACAGAACTGTAGCAAAAACTCACTGTTTGCTGCTGGTCTGGGATCACAGAAAGGTACAAGAGGTTGTTAGTGGCATGAGAAAGTGCCTTCCCCTGGGGCACTGGTGGAAAACCTACGGCACACCTGCCATAGCAGGCTGTCGTCACCAGAAGGTTCGCCAGCTCTGATGTAGGCTGTCTTGGTTACTTTTCCCTTGTTGTTGAGACACAATGCCTGACACCCAAAATTAGGGAAAGAAAGATTTATCTTACATTTTGGAGGTTTCAGTCCATACTCAGCTGGCTCCAAGGCAGGGTGGCATGGCTGATAGGCAGTCATTCATGGCAAGCGGCAAATGGAAAAAGCAAACAGGGCAAAAGAAGAAAAGCAGGCCTCCTTCCTGCCCTTACATTGTGCATCAGCCCACCCCTGGGCAGATGCAGCACTCAGGCCACCAATCCCAGCATTGACAAGCCAGTCACGAATGCTAGATTCAATTGCGCCCATGATTGCAAGAGTCGGGGGGGGGCATTCGAACCGTAACAGAGGGGAAGGACATTAGATATACTAGTGAGTGACGGACTTGCTGGTGGAGTCGAGGGGCAGGGAGATGAAGCAGGAATGGCGCAATGTTGATGTTTGTTGAGTCAGGGAAGTAGGTATAGTAACCTGTCCTCTCTGTTCTTGGCCATGCCAGTGTGCATGCATGTGAGCAAAGTGTGGGGCTAACCAAGGAACTGGGACTCTTGTTTGAGGATGGCTGTTAGGAGAGGCTGGGCCGCTGGGAGATTTGTGTGGCTGGAGGTCAGCACCATCCAGGTGCCAGGGCATGGGCACAGCTTCCACTGTGCTATGGGCCAGTCCACACATGCTCAGTAGCCCACTTCCCACCATGTTGCAGTATGACCCTCAGTTCGGTGACGCCTTCTGGAACAGCAGCAAGTACGGGATGGTGACATACCTGCTGAGGATGATGAGCAGCTGGGCCATTGTCTGTAGTGTCTGGTACCTGCCTCCCATGACCAGAGAGGTGGGTGCTCCGGCCACACTGACTTTATCACTCACTTGCGTGGGACGACTGTGCACCTGGGAGGCGTATCTCACCTCATGTGTTTGTTACAGAAAGATGAAGATGCCGTCCAGTTTGCCAACAGGGTGAAGTCCGCCATTGCCAGGCAGGGGGGACTGGTGGACCTGCTGTGGTGAGTGTGGGGCCCAACCCCCTTGGCAAGGCTGTGCCCTCTGGCTCTTGAGAGGGAGCAGTTTGTCCCCTCTGCCCACATCTGACTTAGAAGTGTCCTGTGCAGGCAGGCCCTCAGGGACCATGGAACTAGCAGTAGATTCTGGGGACTTTCCTGGGACTTGTCTGCTAAGGCACTAGACACTGTTCATCTGATGGTGATAGGGAAGCCTCAGAGGACTAGGGAGCCTCCTCTAATCTTGGTGTACCTGACAAGCGGGCCATCTTTAGAAAGGCCAAAGGTTTGGTTGGTTGGTTGTTGGTTTTTTTGTTGTTATTGTTGGTACTGAGGATGAACCCAGGTCCTTGCATGAAACTACACAGCGTGGCCCTTTTTAATCTGTTGAGTCAGGGCCTTGCTAAGTCATTAAATAGCCTGGGTTGCCTGGGCTGGGCTTGAGCATGCCGCCCTTCTGCGCCCATGCTTGACTCAAAAAATTGACTTATTGCACTTAGCTTGTTACCTCCTCGAGCTGGAATTGACAGGTTTTTCTGTGTGAAGTCAGTAGATCTTGCCGGTGTTGGGCCATGTGATACACACTGCCACCCCTCTGGAGTGAGAAAGCAGCCATAGCAAATGCAGGAACAGACATGGGTCCCAATAAAACTTTATTTCCAAGAACAAGTGCTGTGAGAGGCTTGGCCTTTCCTTGTCTCAGGGTCTGAGGTAGTACCCTCCAGCGCCAGCAGGCATCAGGGTGGGACAGTTCACCACTGTCCCATTCTGGGCTCTTGGTCTGAGTGTGAAGGCGGTGGGGTGGGGGGCACTGTGGGCGGACACTGCAGCTTTAACCGAGCCTGTGCTCCTGGTGATGGCACCGCACTGGCACCATGGCCTTTTAAGCACATGGATATTTCCTGAGCACTTGCTGTGTGCTAGGTGCTTCTGCTGCATGTGGGGGTCTCGTGTGCCCCGCGTGGAAATGCCATGAGTGTAAGACTCATTATTCTCACAGAAACAGAGAAGTTTGATCACTGTCGAGTCACAGAAGCACTGGAGCTGGGTTTTGAACACGCTTCAGACACGTTTTTAACTGGAAAGTTTGCCTGTTACTCTGTGTCCCTGTCCCCGGGACCTAATCACAAGTGTGGCTGTGTTTAGAAGCACCTCTTTGCTGCGGGGCTTCGAGGGTGGGGCATCCAGAAGGCAGGCTTGGTGTTCACAGGGCATCAAGGATGAGAGAGCTGCTGAGGGGACAGGTTGTAGGGTGAGCCCCGTGGGGGGAGCCCAGGTCCAGAGTATGCAAGTCCATGGGGATATTGCAGGGAGGTCCTCGGATGCTGAGGCCGTGAGGGTTTCTGGCTTCCATTACTTGCATCCTCTGAACATAGAAGAACTTGCATTTCACTGAGTCAGAGAGTGTAGCTCAGCCTGCACAAATCCTTTCAGCCCCCAGCACGTAAAAAAGGAAGAAAAAAGCCCCTACATTTGTTTCTCCTGCTGTTCATTCTTTGCATGAATCTGAAGTACCCTAGAATCTGAGCTCCATAGGTTACATTTTATAGTTTCATAGAGTGGTCACACCTCAGGATGTATGAACCTCCGGCCCCTCCCGCCGTGCCACACTGCCTTTGCAGGTGAAGCTGGGTGTTGCTGTGGTGGAAGCGGCTAAGAGCGCCAGGTGACCATCCCCCTAGGGGCTGCAGCTCCAGCTGCACTCGTGATGTTCAAGCAGCGAGATGCATCTGCCATGATGCAGGGCGGCTGGAAGCCTTCGTGGCTCTTACACTGCCTTTCTCTGCTCAGGGATGGTGGACTGAAGAGGGAGAAAGTGAAGGACACGTTCAAAGAGGAGCAGCAGAAGCTGTACAGCAAGATGATTGTGGGGAACCACGAGGACCGGAGCCGCTCCTGAACCCCGGCATGTGAGCCAGCTGGAGCTGCTGCCGCTGCTGCCACCACCACCACCCCGCTGCCGCATCCTTCCGACTCGGCCCGGCCTCGGAGCTGCGCAGATCCTGCCCTCACCGTCTGCAGCGAGGACTGCCCTGCCAGTGTCACTGCCCAGGGCAGGGTGCCTTCTTGATCCTCTTCTGATACGTCCTTTGGAGGAATGCCATGAAAGCCCGTCGTCCACCCGAGCATGTGCTGTGGGCTGAGCGGTGTGGGGATCCGCATACTCCGTTAGGATGCCCCAGGCCTGGCCTGTGTGGGGAGAGGCACTGCTCTGGTCTGGCCTGGCCGCGGAGCTCTGCAACCTTGACGAAGAGAGAACCGTGGTCTGCAGGGCAATCAGCAAAAGAAACTTGACATTCTTGCGTTATTCCTTGTTCAGAAGACAGGATAGGAGAGGCAGTGGCCACCAGGTGGTCTGTGGTGAAAGCCAGGAATTATTCTGTGTCCAAACTCCAGACTGAGCCTGAATTCCCTGTGTGACTTACTCTTTGTTTAATTGTGCCTCGGTTTCCCCGTCTGAAACATGACTCAGGCAGGGAGGGCTGGTGACTCCTACCTCACAGGGGTGTTGTGGGGACTCGGGCACTGCTTGCGTGAGGACACATCATGCAGTATCTAGAGCCCAAGTTGTGGACAAGGTCTGAGCTCCGCTGTTGCACAGGGCTTTGGACCTGTGGCTGTGAGTAAATAAAAGTGGCCGCAGCCCCAGGCCTGCATTTCTTCTGCTCAGCTTCGCCCTGAGTGTGTTCCTCGGAGGCTGGCTGCTCCCACCAGACAGGGTGTCTGTACCCTGGAGGCCCCAAGGTGGGGCGGGCGAGGGCTGGGTAGTGGGAGCCGGAGTCTGGAGAGTCTGGGGACTGGCGCACTGGGTTTCCCCTGGGCCAGAGGTAAACTGCAGGCCTCTCGGGCCACCTTAGTCACCCTGAAGGCAGATCCAGAGCCGGGCCACTCTGTGAGTCCGTGCTGCAGGGTCCTCCAACTTCTGCTCCTCGTAAGAGGAGCCCTGTTTATCCCTGTCCACCTGTGGTTGCTGTGGCAGGCCCGCTATCATCCTGCGGCTGGGGTAAGGGTGTGCTGGGCATGAGGCCTAGCTCCGAGGCTCCAGGCCCACGCCCCTGCCATGCTTGAGGCATGACAAGATGTGTGAGCCTAGTGTTGCTCCCCTGCACCCCTCCGCCACCTCTTCACAGAGCCCCCCGTGTCCCCTCACTGCCCCTTTGCTAGCCAGTGGGAAACTTCTCGCAATAAAATACTCATGACTGTAAGAACAGCCTCTTCCGAGCTGTTCTGTGGAATGCTAATAAACAACAGCTTTCAGCTTCATAGGAGGTGGTGTGTGCACTGTTTCATTGCTAAATGGAGTGGGCTTTCAAACTGGTTAGAAGTTCACCTTCACTCTAAAGCTCTTCTAAAATGTCTGTGCATGATGCTTAATTTCATTCTTTTCATTTGTGTGTGTGTGTATGTGTCTGTCTCTCTGTGCACCTGTCCCTAATCCAGGGTCACCGTCCTGCCCCTTCTCTTCACCTGGGATCCTGCAGGCCCAACACAGCGTGTAAGGGCATCTGGTTTGGAGTCATGCACCACATTGGTCTTCCCTGCTAACTCCTCACAGTGCTTCAAAACAGCAGGTAAGACAGGCTGTGCTCACGCTCGGCTTCCAGCTGGAACAAGGATGCGCTTGGAGTGGGACCAGAAGGTGACCCTGGCGGAGCAGGACCTGGCCAGCCTCAATGCGCTTCCTCAATGCTGCCCTCCGCCATGCTGCCCCGTAGCCTCAGACTCCTCACCCCTGACACGTCTGTCTGTTGTAAGAGCCCATACGCTCTGGGCAGTAAAGTCTTTTTTTGAGATTTGAAATTAGAAGTCACTTTTGAATCCATTTGTTCTCTCTCAAAACTCAGACCAGAGGGTGCCCCCTGTGAGGCGGAGTCCCCAAGGGGTGCAGGCAACAGGGCGGGTGCTCTGGAGAGATTTTCCACTCAATTATGGATATCACAAGCCGTTCCCGACGCGGAGGCTCCACAGGGCTGTCGGCTGCCTGGCTCCGCACACTGCACCCTGGGCCGTCCTGGTGACAGCCCAGCTGTGGTGTCAGCTGCCACAGACCCACTCTGTTGCCACCTTGGAGGCCTAGGGGAGGCAGGGTGTGTGGGTGGGTGGGTGGCCCTCGGCTTCCTGCCTGTGGGAGTCAGGGTGTGTGAACCCTGCTGTTTCCATCCTAGTGTCAGCCACAAGCTTGGGCTCTGGCCAGCGCCCTGGTGTGAAAGCGCCCACTGGTCTTGGGCTTCGGTGGGTGCCAGGTGGCCAGGCTCCACTGCTCTAGGTGCATGGTGTGTGGCTGCAGCGGGCCGGGCCAGGCCGGGGTAGGGGCTGCTGCCACCATCCATCGCCAGTGGCACTCGCCTCGCTCGCCAGTCAATACGTCTCTCTCCGATGGGAAAGTTAATAAATTTTGCTCTAGATTAAAAGTATTGATCATTTCATTTGTAAACGATAAATAAAAAGGGGGAGCTTTTCATGGTGGCGGGGCTGGCGGCTGGTGCACTCTGCTGCAGCGGCTTCCCCGGCTGCCGGGGGTGGGCGTCTCATCTGCATTCCAGCTGGCCAGTGGCATCGATTTCCTATTAGTCTCCCAGCACCACCCAGCAGCACATCATTTCAGCACCTGCTATTAATGGTCTTTTGATAAATAATCACTTGTAAGTCAATAAATTTTTATTAAACAGTGTGGCTCTTTGATTTATTAAAATCCGACCATGTTTGTCTGGGAGAAAAGGGATGCTGAATTGAAGCGGAGGTTTTCATACATCTTCCTGACGCCGGGCAGTCACCTCACATTCCAGAGAAAAACAATTGCATTTTAACAGAAACAAAACAGCCGAGTTTGGGACTTGGGCCCAGGGAAACTTTGTCTATACCAGTGCAGGGCTTACTCTGTAGGGTGCAGCTGCAAGCCAGGACACCCAATGGTCGAGCTTTGCATTGTGGTCTGAGAATGACGAGGCCCCCCTGGCCTGCATGGCTCCTGCGGACCAGCCTCCTCCTGGTGGGATTGGGAACCAGGGTGCGGACCCCATGCAAGGAGTGACCGGGAGATGGGGCCGTGGCCCCTCAGCAGCCTCCCGCAGATCTCATGGCAGGAAACACCAAGACCACATGTGTGCATAGGTGAAGGGACGTTTCTGTGAGATTGGGTAAAATTGGCTGTAGGGTTTGGCACCTTTTTGTGAAGATCTGGCTGCAGGCGTACTGAGAGGAGTGGAGTCGGGGAATTGGAGATGGAGAGGCCCAGCTGGTCAGTGTGCTCGTGAGGGTGGATGATGGGCACCCCTGTCCTTGGCCCACCCCATCGATGCTCCGCCTGACTCCCCCCGTTCCCACCAGCATGACAGACGTGACAGGAGGTCTGTGTGAGTGGGGGCTGCTGTTGGTAATGGCTGGGACTGTCCTATCTGTCGTCTTGGGTTGAAAGTGCTGGCCCAGAGAACCTCAGAGGTGCCCAGGAAGCTGGCAAGGGGGGAGTGATCACTCAGGTTTTGGGGAGTGGGTCCCTGTCACCAGGAGTCCTTGTCCAAAGGCCTGAGGCCCCACCTCTGGGGCTGTGCTGGGGTGAGCCAGGCTCAGAAGCAGGGGACAGCTTCTGGAATGTGAGTGACATTGCTTTGCAGGTTGTGTGCCAAATCCAGGTTCTTTCCAAGATTAAGAAGCTTTTTTGCGATGTTTCTTTTGGGGCCAGTCTTCATTAATCCCTCTGCTCTGCTGCTAGGGTCACCCGCCCTTGTGCAAGACATCGGGGGAACCGGATGAGTTGCCTCAGAGTTTCTGCCCCTCAGAGCTGAATTCTTTCTAGTCAGTCAAATACATTAGACTCTGGGAAAGGAGTGCCTTGCTAGACGGCTCATTGGAAGAGATAGGAGAGGCCCTGGGGCCATCATCCAGCAGGTCCCTGTCCCCCCGGGGGTGTCAACAGACTGAGGATTAGAGGCAAGAAGTGGAGAGATGGAGCTTCCCGAAAGTAGCTGCAGGATGCCCCCCATAGACCTGAAAGTGCGTTTCAGGTGTGTGTGGCTGTGTACTTGGACACAGCGCAGCGTGGCTGGAACCACAGCCAGGAAGGAGTGGGCCAGGCAAGCGGCTTCCTGAGCTCCGGCACTCACTCTGAGCATGAGCACGGACAGCGCCTCTCCCTCCTGTCTAACTGTGCAGATTGATCCACCAGCTACGATTTGTCATTTCTCCAAGGCAGGCGCTGTTTTCTCTTGCTTCAAGAGGCCCCTTTCGACACCTGCTTTATTTTTCTTCCTGCGCTGACGTGACGGGAGACAGGTGTTAAACTACTTAATCACTTTAAAATTGTTTTAATTTTCTGTTTTTTATTGATCTCTCTAGCACCAATTAATCAGCTCACTGGACCAGGCAGTTAGTACATTAAAAATTGTCAGGGAGGCCGTGCATCTTGCAAAATGTCTTAAAAAGAATTCAGCTAGAACATTTTTGGTTTTTTTTTTTTTTCTTCTCTTATGGCATGCAACAGTCTTTGGCCCTGGACACCCTGCTCAGAATGGACCTCTTCCCCCTGGGCTCCTAGGTCAGGGGTGTTAGGCAAGAGGAGCTCTGGCCAGCAGCTCCCTGCAGGCAGCCTTTGTCATGCGTTCACTGCCCTCTTGCCACGTCTGTGTTGTCTTCAGGAACTCTTGGTCTCCTTTTCCCCAGGGCCTTGGGGTGCTTTTGCGGAAGGGAGTGCTTGCCCTGACTCCAAGAGTATAGGATTGGCCTCGCTGTCGGTCATGTCTCCTCCATTGGGAGCTCAGGACTTCCGTCTCCTGTCTCCTCGGGGACAGGGACCTGCTGAACTTGGTACAGTCCGTTTGTGGGCAGCAGCTGTCACTCCAGTGGTGAGCCTGAAGCCCTTGCATGGAATGTCCTGGGCAGCCAGCCCCTACTGTCACCACCAGCTGTCCTGTGCTGCAGACTCGGCCACTTGTCTTTTATCACCCTTTGCAAATGAGTTATGAATTGCTTGGCTGTACTTTCTGAATTAAATAAAGCACAGATGGAATAACCAGGTTTTCAGTCACTTCATTTCTTCAATCAGTTTCTTTTGGGCTTTCCCCACATTTGTCCCATTTTCGATCACTTTCCAAGGGCAAGTCCCTTTATTTTTCTGGGGCCAACTGTGTTTGTGGCCTGACAGTCTGCTCCCTCCCAGAAGGTGCCTTGCCCCCACGGTGCCTTTCGCCAACTTACCCTTCTTCCCGCAACCGGCTTTCCAAGATGAGCGAGCATTGGGAGGGATTTCCTCCCCTGCCCTAAGCCTCACCAGCACGCAGGGCTCCTGGGAAGGGGGCCATGAGCCCTTACTGTGGGAATGCTGTGGGGTGCACTCCCACCCCAGGCCAGGCACAGTGATCCCCACATTCTGGCCACCCAGACTTATCTTTCTCTAGGCTCCACCTGCCCGGTATTAATTGGTATCTGATTGGGCTGGAACATATAATCTAGTATTGATTTTCTCTCTGGACGCCACAGCTTTATTTGCTCACATCTGCCTTGTGTTTAATTGGTGCTTTGCTCTGGAAACAGGTGATCTTATCAGCCTGTTCGGTTTCTTTTCCGGGCATACAGGCACACACACACCCCAGCACCCTCGCACTGGCTGGCCTGGCCCTGCCTCTCCCTGCCCCTCCCACCGCGAGGCATTCCTGGGGGGTAGGGGCCTGGGCACCCGGAAGGGCTTTCCTTATGCTTGACCTCCCAGCTCTTTCCTAGTGTGAATGTTGTGGGAGTCTGGCTTCGCTTGCGTTCTCATCTCCCTGTTAGAGCCTTGAGGCCGCTGATTGCAGTTTCCTGCCTTGATGCCTCATTGGACAAAGACGTTCTTGCCTGCTTTGCAGGGTTTTTAAGGCTGCCAGGCACAGTGCGGTGACCGGCACCCAGTAGGTGCTCAGTAAGCAGCCACCAGCTTCACAGCGATGCCTTTGGAGCTCACACAACAAGCGAGTGAGCTTCCAGGGCCCACAGTCCAAGGAGAATCTCTGACCCTGAGGCACAACTTGCCTGAGACTGGGGGCTTCTGTTCCTTACTACAATTGGGAGCTGACTCAGAAAGGCTTCTTGTCACCTGCCAATCTGTGCTGCACACCTGTGCTGGCTCCTGGGTTTGGGTTTTTTTTCCTCCCTTCTGACTGATCAGGCCCACCCTGGGCTTTTTATAGTAAAAAGATGTCAAGGCCAGAGGTAAACACTAATTTCCTATTGACACGACATTAATTCTCCTGCCAGACAGGTGAATGCACTTTCGCTCACTTTGCCAAGATTAA